CCACACCAGGAAGCGCCTCACGCCCCCTCTCTCGCCCCCCGCTCCCGCTGGCCCTTGCCCGCCTGGCAGGCCCCACCCGCGTTGGTCACTGGCAACTCCCCTGAAGGATGGCCCGGGAAGGCGCGCGGACGCCCCGAGAAAGCGGGGGACACTGACTCGCGGCCCGAGGGCACGCCCCATCGCGTTCGCCCTCCCCCCTCCCCCGGGGTCAAGCCGCCGTGGCGCGGTCGGCCCCTTTTCGTGGCCCACCCAGGCATGCGTTCAGGCGCCGACGCACGCACAAAGCACACGGCACCCAGCACATATACCGGCCCGGGGCGCCGTTTCGATCACGATCACCACGCTGACACGGCGCGCCCCCCCCCCCCCCCCTTCGAGGGCCATGGGGCCAGCTGGCTGGCGCGTGCAAGACCAGGCAGGCAAGGGGACAAGTGCTTGAACGGGTCCTCTTCAGGAAGCAGGGCGGAGCAGAGCCTTTGACCGGCCCCGGGCCTGGCCAACGCACCCAGGGGCGAACGCCCAGCGCGCCCCTTTGTCCTCCGTTGTCCCCCATGAAAGCGGTCGCCCAGAGAGCGAGCCCTTGCTCACTGGCCGCTGTCAGGCAGGGGGGGGAGCCCTGTCCGGCATATCCCCCCCCCCCCCCCGCACACACACAGACACACACGCACCCACATACACACATCCCAGGTGCTGACATACCCATGGCAGGCTGATCTCGTTGGACCCTCCGGCTGGCGCCCTGCTCCCGCCCGCCGGCGCTTGAGACGTCGAGCGCCCCAGCCACAGCCAGCCCTTGTCATGCCCCCACGCCCCCGATCCTCGGGCGGCCGGGGCGGACGCCCTCAGCCTATTCAAGCGACAGTGCCACTCACGCAATATTCCCCCCCCCCCCTCCCGGTCGGCGCCCCATCCCTGGGCATGGGGGGGGGGGGGGGGGCGTGCGTGGGCCCCACACAGGGGGGCGCGCCCCCGGCGCAATGTGAGTGCGTGCGCGGGCCGCCAGCGCGGACTGCCGCCGCTGTCGCCGCCTTTGCGGCGCCAAGACGCCACCTTTAATTACAGGCCCCGGCCCAGCCGACGTGGGAGCTCGTGAGCACCGCGCCACATCTGTCGGCCGGACCCGGCCGGTGCCCGCAACGGCCGAGGCGAAGATGCGCCTTGAGGCCCTCCCCTCTTTGTGTCCCCCGCCCGGGGCGAGGCCGCACTGCCCATTCTCCCTCTCGGACCGCGCCGTCCGCCCACGGGGGGGCGGCAGGGGGCCGGTTCTGCAGGGGCGGCTTTTGCAGATCCCCGGGCGCTCCACACCCATTCGTTGGCACTGATCGCCATGGTTATCCACAATCACCGTGGGCTCGAGGGCGGCCTTTTCTCAGGAATGCGCTGGTCTATTTCTCACCCCCCGGCCCGCCCCCCTCCCCCCGCGCCCTCGCGGGCCGGTGCCCAACACCGCGAGACGGCCCCGTGGCGAGCGGGCAACAACGGCAATGACCCTCCCGCCTCGGGCCTGGCCGCCGGGGCCATCGCCGAGCACATGGGCGGGGCCCCTTCACCGGACCATTGTCGAGGAGGAGTAGTAATTGTCCGCCAGGGCCGAAAGCAGGCACTCCACACGGTCGGCACTCCGGCGCCAGCCGCCCGTCAGGACATATCCCAGAGCCCCGATCTCCAGCAGAGGCTGCTCATGGCCGAGCACGCGCAAGCGCGACAGCCCTCGCCGAATTCGCAGGGCCACAGCAAAGGCGGCTGCTTGGCCGGATCCAGCGCCGGCCGAGCGCGCCAGGGCCCCGCGCACGCCGGCCGGGTCCAGCCGCCGGCGGCGCATCACCCCGGCCAGGCCGCCGGCCGGCTGCCCGCCAGCCGCCGGGGATCCATGTCCCGGCATCCGGTGCCCGGGGCCTAGTGGTGGTGGTGGTGGCGGTGGCGCGGCATCGCCGGCCCGGGCGCCGGCGCCGGCGCCGGACGTGGCCACCGCCGCCCGGGGCCTTCCCTGGCCAAACACCGCCACTGCCGCCTCCACCAGGAAGGGCGACAGGGGGAGGAGAAAGTGCCGGCGGAAGGCCGCAATGAGGGCCGCGCGCGGGCTGGTCGATGGCCGGCCGCGCATCGGCCCGCCGGCATGGACCCTTTTCGGGCCCGCCCCAGCCAGCAGCGGCTGCAGGGCCACTTCCAGGGTCGGGGCAATGCTCTCGATCAGGTGGTCCAGGATATCGGCAAAGGTGAGCAGCAGCTGGCCCGGGTCCGGGCAGGGAGACGCCAGGCGCCCAAGGAGGCTGGGGCATACGGCCGGAGCCAGGGCCCCGGCTCCCGGCGGGTCCAAGCACCCCAGCGTGACGATGGGCGTGTGCCAGGCCCCGGCCGAGCGCCGGTCCTGCCCGTGGCCGGTGACGCCCATGGTGCGAGCCGGGTGCGTGACCGACCCCGCACGCAGCATGCTCAGGGTCGGCGTGCGCGAGCCCCAGGCTGGCTGCTGGTCCATGCCGAGCGAGGTCCGCCGGGCTGCCCGGCCTGCCGGGGTCGATTGCGAACGCCCATGGCCGGGATCCGGGGCCCCGGTGGCCGATGGCCCGGCAGCCGGGCCACCCAGTCGCATGCGATCCAGCAGGGAGAGCTTCTCATCGCCGAGGGCCGTCTCCAAGGACACCAACATCTGCCGGCGCCCGGGGACAAAGCCATGTCGGAAGATGACCGGCTCCAAGTCCCTCGGGGCCGGGCCTGTAGACGGCCCGGCCTCGGCCCGGGCCGTGGCCAATGGCCGGCTGCCATCGTGCGCGGCGGGCGGCTCCGGTGCCGGGACATGCCCCCCGGTGCGTGCAGGCAGGCACAGTGGCAGCAACAGCGGCGGCCCGGGGCTCGAGGCTCCGCCCGGCGATGGGGCCAAGTCGAGATGCGCCATTCGGAAGGGCATTTGGCGGGGGCTCGGCTCGCTGGGACTGGCGAAGCCCGGCGAGGGCGCATGCATCGGCGTGTGTCTGCCCCCCAGGGCGGTGGTCGTGGCCGCCGCGGCTGCCAGGTCGTCGCGTGCCCCCTGCAGGAAGGACTGCACCGCCAGCAGGGGCGGCAGGGACTCCGGAGGCATGGACGTGCTCCAGGGGCTTGGCGGCTGCTGAGGCGGCAGGCGCGGAGCAGGAGCCGCGGTGGCGGCGGCGGCGGCCACCGGCATCCGGGCGTCGGTCCACTCGGGCGCGCGGGACCGGCGCGCCCCGGCCGCCGCCGCCGCCGACCACAGCAGATCCGCCTCGGTTGTGGCGACACCCGGCAAGGGGCACTTGCTTGGGAAGTCCTCATCGTCGCTGTCGATCACCGGCCCGGTGGGCGGGCCCTCCAGGTCGAGCGGCTCGCTCGGGTACCGCTGGGCAAGGGCCTCACTCAGGCGAGCCAGGTCCCGTTCATGCAGAAGGGCCGCCAGGGCGGGCAGAGTCCCTGGCGAGTCGGCCCGACAGCCCTCCTGGGCCCAGGGGCTCAGCGAGGGCATGCTGTCGATGCTGGAAGGCAGGGGCACCTGCAGCGGGCGGGGCCCGGCCGATCGGGGGTCCTTCTCACTGGCGCGCTGAGCCAGGTGCTCGGTCATGCCTTGGTAGATGGGCACCAGCGAGGGGGGCTCACAGATGGACAGCGCCGGCGACGGGGGCGACCGAATCCCCCCCGGGTCCTCGCACAGGCAGAGCGAGTGCAGCGGCAGGGCCCGGCCCGCGTGCATGATGTTCTCCAACATCTGATAGCACCCGCGACTGGCCAGGTCTTCGACCTCGCGCTGGATCACCTCCGAGGATGGGGCAGACGCCTGGATGTCACTGTCCATGACGCCGGCCCACGAGCGCCGCGCCATCGTCAGCCAGCAAGTCAGTGACCCCGTTCGCAGGGGGCTCGAAGGAAAGGACCCGACGCCCGGCCCCCGGAGGACCCAGCCTTGCCACCTGGCCGAAGCTAGTACGGCAGGGGTCTCTCGCGCACCTGACTACCGCCGAAATGGCCCCCAGCGAGGGGGTGATGTCGGCCCCGGCAAACACCGGCAGCACCAGCTGGTAGAGCGCCCCGCAGAGGGAGTCGAAGAGAGGGCGCGGCTCGACCGCCGCCGTCGTAGCAGCAGCAGCAGCACCATGCCACTCACACCCGGGCAAAGGCGGGCTCGGCGCCGGGGGCGCTTGCACGGCCCCCGGCCCCGGGGGCAAAGGGGTGATGGTCAGCGGCGGCGGTGGCGGCGCCCGACCCCGGGTCTTCTCCCGGGTGCGGGAGAGGGATATCCGCCGGGACAGCAGCCCGGCCCCCTCGCGACTGAGGAACCCCCCGACGCCGGGAAGCGGCGACACCGAGCCGGCTGCCGCGCACGCATCGCCCGCCGCCGATTGCGGCCCCACCGACGGGCTGAGCCCCAGCGACAGGTCATCCTTCGGAACCGGCGACGCGACGCCACTCGCCCCGAGGGCTGGGCTGGACACCCCGCGCGTCGGGAGTGTGGCCGAAGAGAAAGCCCCCGGGAGGGCGGTCTTGAAGCCCGGATGCATGGACAGCCTGGGGTCAGGATGGCGTGCGGCGGGCACGAGGACATCGGGCGACAAGGGTGGATGGCAGGCAAAAAAAAAAGAAGAAAGAAGAGGCCCGGGCCGCCGCCGCACCAGCACCGGGGTGTTGCCCACGCCTGGTGGCTCGGGTTTGGAAGGGTGCGCCGAGCCGAAGGAGTGTTGACGTCGGATGCGCGACGCGGTGGACCGCTTGACTGGTGCCTCTATGGCCGAAGCCATGGCGCCCAAAGCAGAATTCACAAGAGGAGCTCGCGTATCGCCCTCCGGTTGCGCGCACGTCTGTGTGTGTGGGCGGGCGGGTGGGTTGTGGGTGTGTGTGGGCGGGCGGGCGGGTGGGTTGTGGGTGTGTGTAGTCCCCGAAGTTGGGGCTTGGACAAGGAAGAGGGAGAGGACACCTGGCCAGTGCTCGGTGAGGGGGAGAGTCGGGCGGGAGGCACAAGCGAGGGGAGTCAGAGGGTGCGTGGCAATTGGGCCGTGCCATTGGCACTGGCCCGAGTGGCCCTTAGAGCTTCCGGACCCCTGCCGGGGCCGGTCACAGCCAAGACTCTCAAGTCCACGCCCCATCCGCCGGGCGGGCCACACAAACACACGCACGCGCCTGCACACGCACGCACACGCGAGTACCGACACAGACCCATTTGCCAATTAATCCTGGCTATTTTGGGACCCGAGCGGGAACAGGAAGGCGGACTAGGAGGGGGGCTGCGAGAGAGGGAGAGAGAGAGAGAGAGAGAGAGAGACTTTACAGCAGACCAGGGCAGGCACATTTGGCAAGCAAGGGCCCCCCGCGGCCAAGGCCAATCGAGTTCGCTCTTGACCGGCGACAAGATTGCGCACCGGTTCCCTATGGCCGGCCAAGTGAGCCAACACGCCTAATTCCCCGCCTCAGATCGGTTTCCCAGCCTTCCTTCCTCCAGTGGAGACGGGGGCCCGGGGCCGGGCGCAAGCGGCGCGCGTGCATGGGAACGATTGTGGGGGAGTCTGTTAATTCAACACGTGACCGCTGCTATCACAGAATAGCATTGCAGTTCATCACATGCGCATTTGAAAGCCGCAGCCGTGCGCTCCGAATGCCCGCGCCGGCGGTTCGCGGGTTGGGCTGCCGCTTCCCGGCCCCCGGTCCCGCTCGCCCTTTGGCGTTCTCGCGGGCGCGCGCGCGCGCCCTCACCCGGAGGCCGGAGGGCGTGGTCTTGAATGAGTGGGGCAGGAGCGACTGAATGGGGGTGGGCACTGGGGCGGGCCGGTTGGGTGCCGGAGGGGGGGGGGGGCAGAGGGGCGCCGGAGTGACCCCGCAGGTGTCGTCGCCTCACCGAAGGCTCTCCACCTGTTTGTGACGGCGGCACTGGCGGGACTCTTCGGCCAGCGCGCAGATCTCCCTAGCCACCCCGAGCGCCGGTACCCCTCCC